AATCTGTCAGTGGTCTGACAATGCACTTAATGTTTTCAGCCACTTCACAGTATTTTGTTTCTCTGACAAATACATCTGTTCATCCTGCTTTCAAAAAACATGGTGATTTTAAAGCAAAATGTATGGTAGGTTTTTGTTACCATAGGCAGAATTGCATTATAATATGCAGGCAGTATGTTACAGTGACAGCATATTATAGTGGACCTAAATATTCTACCCAGCATGTCATTAGGGCAACTTTTCCTTCTTCTTCAAACTGATGAAGACATGATGTCAAATGTACATTTTTGTTGGCAGTGCATCTGTATTAACCTCATCTGCCAGAGCTTTCACCTTCTCTCCTGCCTGGCTGACAGAACTGCACCAAAGGAAACTTGTGCTTTGGACTTTTTAAAAAAATTTCTTTTTAATAAATTTCTTAAAATTCATAAATTTTATGGTATCAGTCTGTGTTCTCAGTAATGAATATTCACTCTATTACACTAATTTTGACTATTTACAGGCAAACCTAAAACTGTTTTTGGGGCCAGTTTTGAGATTACATTTTTTTCTTAATTCAAATGTGTATCTCATTTGCTGTGTAAAAATAAAGGTTAGTCACCACCATAATCATTAATCAAAATCTAATTTAATGGTAATACACAAAAAATCCCCCAGTGGAAACAGATGGATTTTTCTTCACTGAAAGAGTAAAGATTGTATTCTTCAACAGTTGTTGAGAAGATTCTGTGAGACTTATTTTTCAGGTTCTTTCTGTTCCATATTAAAGCATTTCTCTGGTTCTGTTTGTGTTCTTGTCTTCTCTTTTATTGATTACTTCCTTACAACTTAAGATGATATTATAATGCTTCTAATTATGGATATTTATATTCCTTTGTCTCAGCCTCTCTCAAATCATTAGTAAGAAGGTTTTCAGCTAGTTTTTCTGTTTGAATTTATCCTTGTTAGAACTGAAGGAACTGGTTGCTCATATTCTTTCCTGATTTTTTTGTGTCAAGTGTAAAAAATTGCTAGGCACTAACTGCAAATGAGTGCTTCTTTCTTACTGACATTTTCATTACATTTGGCTTTAAGAAGTGTTCATCTTTTTTGCTGGTAAATTGTTGGGCTCTTTTGCTTTTTTGTAGAGGTCACCAAGTTGTTTAAAAGTTCCATATCTGTAATCAGGCAGGTTGTGTAGGATTTACATGTTACTGCGTGTAAACTAAAATCAGCATGTGTATATAAAATATTCTCCCTGTGCAACATGCCTCAAAAAAATTTGGCTTAATTTGAGGCTGCCTTGAAGGTTTGCTGCTGTCATGTTGCACATCACATCTCTCAGTAGTTTCATCAGGTTCACATTAACTGATATTACTTCTTCAGTTCCTCTTGTTCTCATCATCCTGCTGGTATTTTGTGTGACACTCTTGCCTTACATCCAGCACCGTTCTCTTTCCTTTTTAAAGCAGTTTTGTGGGGTGCACAGGGCACTGAATGTTTCTAGTGTTTGGTAATGGGGATAGATTAAGCATTTTAAATTCATATGGGTAAGCATTTTTAATTCCATGGACCAAGACAAAGGCAAACAACCATGAACTGCTCTGTAGAAGCAGCACGTGGAGAGCATTACAGAATTTAATGTCATGAACTTTTATATATTTTTAATACATCGTGTATACAATGATGTACTGCTGCTTTATTAAACCAATACAGTTAAATTAGTATTAAATGGACTAAAGGGGTTATTGCCTATTATTATTTCCAATGGCTTGCATCAGCCCTTAATTTTCAATTAATGATCAGAATAGCCACAAACTGAGCCCTGGCCATTTAGTTCACTATCCACAGGGAGTAGAGAAGTCCCCTGGCATAGTGGAATGGCTCTTAAGCAGTTTGGAGACTGCTTCAAGGGTAAGCTCCACTAAACCCTGATGCCCCAATACATGGCATTAGTGTAGGACTGGCTGAGGGGATCCAGGAGCACTGGAGAGGGTAATTCTAATTCCCTTCACCTCATGGGCAGCAGCACCCATGGGAAGGGAGGTGATGGCAAATTCAATGGAAAAGAGAAGGGCTACTTTGTGCAGTGTTTTCTTCACCAGCAACTCTTCTTTGCCTCCTCCAGAAAAAAGAGAGGGTGAGGAGCTGTTGCACTATAGTGTGAATAGTCAGAGCAATCTGTGCATTGCTGCTTAAGTACAAAAGTAATGTCCCTGATATCAACTAATGCTCCATATCAATTAATATTTCTGAGCTGAGAAGAGCCCCAGTGACCATGTTACAAAAGCAATAATCCAGCAAGGACAAAAGTTAAAATGTTGCTTTTCCTTACAAATCAAACAAAGCTGGAAAAAAGTCGTGTTTTTACAAGCCTCCTGTATGTGTTCTTTGAGGTGCTTGGGAGACATTTGTCATGGCAAAGGAGAATCAGGTGACTCAGGCCTCAGAGGGGTAGTAAATCATTGCAGTGGTTCTGAAAGGCTGAGAGCTTGAGCATTCTCATTCTCCCTTAGAAAGTACATTGTAAAAAAGTAGTGCATTTTTTTTTCTTGTCACTTTTCTTGCACGCCTCATCTTTTTTCAGACTACGCAGTGAGGAACCCTTTCTTAAACAGTATATGAGCTTTCTTTAGAATTGTTGTGTATCACAGAGCTTATAGCATTAAAAAAAATGTGAGAAGTTAATTTTTAAATACACACATAGAATTTTTTCATAGATTTGAGTGGTCTTTATCTGCTGGATTCTTTTCAGTTTCTCCACAAAAAAAATTGCAGTCATATTTCCTTTATTATCTTTGTAAAATGCCTGTGTTTTTACTAAGGTTTGAAGACCTGCATTTCTTCTTGTATATGTTTTTGAAAGTATCAGAGGAACAGAACAGTGTTAAAATACAGATGGTAGCTGATCACTAAAATCCCTCTTCTGCTCAATGTTATAGCACCCACTAATATTTCACCAGCTTCAGTATTTGAAGGGATAGCCCTACAACTTCTAGGATGAGGCCTGATTTTTTGGTTTGTGGTTTTTTTTTTTTCTTCCCAGGAACTGGCTTTGCTTATTCAAAAAATCATTATCAAAACAGTTAAAGGTATTTAGGTGCCCAGATCCTAATGATGATTTCATGTGTGCCTTTGAAGGTAACTGAGAGAAGCCAGCATACTTAGAGAAACATAGCAGCATTTCTCTCAAACTGTGGCATAGTGAACAGGGGTTTGGATGTGTTGTGGCCATTCTGTACAGTGATCAGGGCATAGGACTCACAAATGTTGATGTTTCTATAGAATATGATTTTCTCACTCTGTTATGTTCCTCACCACTTCCTAGGATTCCCCCTGGAGATAATTAGATATCATGCTGAAACACCTTCCCACAAACTGAATTTTGAAGAAAGGAAGCAGCTGGGTGAGGATGTATCTGTTGCTGAGGTTGAACAGTCAGCCTGTGTCCTTGAACAAAGCCCCCGATCTCAAAGGACTTTCTGCTGAAATATACAGACAGTTCCAGCAAATTTTGGAAAATTTCCTAACTAAAAATGGAATGAGTCATCCACATCGGTTTTATATCTGCTGTTAGCTCAGTTAATAGCCATGTATTAAGGAAAAATTACAAGAATCATAGAAGTTGTGTCTCCTACAGAGCTATTTTGTTGCAGTACAGATACTAAATAGCTTTCTAATCTATAATTCCGAACATTTTTTTCCACTTTTGTTCATCAAGAGTGAACTGTTTTCACATGACTTGCACATTCAAAGGCTTCGTGTACCACACTATACACTGTATTCAGTATAGGAGCGGAATATTGAGTGAAGATAGAAATAGCTTTTCATAATGTACACTGGTGCTATCATGGCGTGGTAACCAAGAAATAAATTTATCTGAGTACAGGAACATTCATCTTTTCCTTGGATACAATATAAATCAAAGAGAGTTGACTGAATGTGATACTTAAATACAGACTCTTAAAGACTAAGATAATTCTCAGACATAAATAACATGACATTTAAAATCAAGGCAGAACCCCCAAGATTGTCCCTACCTATAGTGTTGAGCTTTTACAGTTTTGAATAAAATACTCAGTGTGCTTGCATCAATCGAAACTTTTGTTTTGCTTATTACCTGCTGTTTACTTAACCTGCTGACCAAAAATAATTCAGTTATACCTGGGTGTGTATCCTTTCATATTGAAGGGGAAATTGTGGTCAGTAATTCTCCTCATATTGTCTTGCCCAGAATGAAAGGAAGAAAAATATCACATTAATATTTTACGGTCCAGTCCAATTCTGAACTCTGATCCAAGCCCTGCTCAGTGGATGTTGTGGTTTAAAGACCTGTTGACAAAGAACAGACAAATGTAGTAAGAGTTTGAAGCAGGCATGTTTTGTTCCCCACCCCATGAGACAGCAACATGTGCTGAGCTGATTGACCATGGCCTCATTTCTATAGAGCTGTAGCAGACAAATCAATTGTATAGCAGTCAGTTTCCTGAGAAGTAAAATAAATCTACGTGGTATAGAAAGAATAAAATACTTAGCAATATTATGGCTATTTTTGTAATTATCTCAAATAGTGGCCTGTTTCATGCAGCTTTGAGTCAGGCAGGAAGATGTGTAGCTCTGAATTCTACCTTGTAGTAAATTATACTTGCAGTTCTTACGAGAGCAAAAAGGAAAGAAAGCGTTCAAACTGACTTGGAATCTCTTAGGAGACACAACAGCAGAGAGCCAGTGTTGCCTGCAGTACCTTGGTAAATGCCTGTGTGCCCAGGGCAGTGAAATGCTGTGGGATCTGCAGCTCTAACACATACCAGTTCTATGGCCCTTGGGTTTTTCCAGACTATACCTTGAAGATATGGTGAGTTATTTTTTACATACATGTGATGGGTTGGCAAAACAAATCAGTAGTTATTCACAGAAGATTCGATTTAACCCATTCTCAAATATCAGAACATGCATCCCTCCTCCATTCTGAAACTTGGGAGCTGACACTTTACGTAGCATTTGTTGCATTCACTTTCCAGATCACGTGAACGGTCACTGTACAAGCCCAACATCCCAGAGCTGTGGCTCAGGCAAACGCCTTTCCAGTGCGGATGTGTCGAGAGCAAACCGCCGAGGGCCCGGCAGGCCCCCCTTCAGGAAAGCCCAGTCTGCAGCCTGCATGGAGATTTCTCTCCCAGTCACCACAGAAGGTGGGTGGCAATGACTGTTTTGCCAGGTATTTGTGAGTTTCTCACCGGCTGTGAAAGGGAATAAGTTCAGCAGAATCCTTGTCTCAGTTATTGCCTTGAGCTAACTAATGCTTTAAACTGTGATAGGCAATCATGACCCTAATCCTCTTCTTATGAGGAGCATTTGTATCCTAACCCACCCACCTGCAGGGGTGTCTGCATCACAGTTATAGCTGGAACCAATACTCCCTGATTTCCACACCTGTTAATGAAGACAGAGCAAAGGAAATTACATCACTCAGATTGTCTACCTTTGTATTTTTAAATGCAAATTGTTTCAAATACCTTTGTTATTGGTGGCACGTGGCTAGAAGATTTGCTTTTATCAATTTTTGTGGTAATGTAAAACAGTAGTTTTTTTCCTCCACATTAATGACTGATTATGAACATAACAAGCCTTTTATATAGCTCTCTATGTGCCACACAAACATGGTAAGTAACACTGTCATATAACAGCTCCTGATGGGAAATATACTGCTGCCATAATAGTTTCTATTGCTGAGTGTTTTTCTTCATCCTATGTAGTACCAAACTCTTCTGGAATTCTTGTATGCAGATATCACTGCAATATCAGCAGTACCTACCAAGGCCACAGTAATACCTAACCTTTTTATGCTTCTTTTCTTCTTCCCTGCCATCCAACCAGAGTAAATAGGGTCATCAGCAGAACCCACAGCCCCCTAAGCCCCACTGACTCTTGTGTACAAAACATTCGGTGATACTTTCGATGGCATGATGTTGCTTTCTGCATACCTGTGTCATGAAAGGTTCACTTTGTCATTCATTATTATTTATAATACCTATCAAGTTTAACATAAAAGTGGATCTCTTTTAGAGTTAATCATCTAACTTCCTTTCAGGCTTGAGAAGTAAATTGAATTAACTGACATTAAAAATTCCTATTTAAAAATATCACTTAAATAGTAGTAAAACTTTCAGTCAAGTCAGTGAGATGACTATTGCTAGAGCAAGCCAGACAATCTCCAGTCATTTGTATCTGCATGTAATGTGATGGAGCATGCTTGGAGTTTGTCCATGGGTATGTGAATTTATGTACAAGTCACCTTGCAGCAGGTCTTTTGACTAAAATAATTTTCTGATTATCTGTAGTCTCTCAGTAAAACAAAGCCTTCTGTCCAGCTTGTCTAAACTATTTTTCAGTTGGTGGTATTAGGTTTTTGAGTTCTAGCTCTACTGCCTGATCTGCCTGGAATGACTGACATTCCACTGTTCTTCATGTATCTTGAATTTCTAGACACACTGTTTTGTCAAGTGGTTTGATGTGTTTCTAAAGGTTTTTCTACTAAATAATATGGTGGAAGGTGGTATGATGCTTGAAAGAGTCTTGGTCCAGGTGAGGGAAAAGGAAGAAGAGATGTTAAAAGGTTTGAGAAAGAATATGCTGAGAATAAGAATTAGCTCTGTAATGTGAAAGTGTCTTTGGTCAAAACCTCCTAGTTGAGCTGTTCCAAAATAAAATTTAAAAATCCCTTTCTTTGCTAAGAATTTATTGGCTACTTAGGAGCATATGCTGCAACAAAAAATAGATGTATTCCCAAGAAATTGCTTCCTTTATTTTCATATTCTCATGAGGTGAGTCAAGATACATATTTTATGTCCTTTCTAGAAAGGTAGCATTTCAGGTTAGAATTTGGTAGGTTTTTATTATTCTACCAGAGTAGAATTTTGATTAGAGTCTGCTATCTCAGAAGGACTTCTTAGACATTTAAAAAAAAAAAAAAAAGCCTTTGTGTGGGGGTAAATGGTTCTTATCTTTTTTAAACCTGTCTCCAAGGCACTGATAATACTTGGAGATATTTTTTTAATAATGCTTCCAGTTCCTGCTCTTTACAACCTCTTCTATATGATTTGATTAAAAAGATAATACATTTTGTTAAGTAATCATAAGATATATATTAGAATAATAAATTAATCTTCTCCCCTTGCATTGGATTTCAAACTACTTACTCAAATCTGACCTCCTAGTACAATAGGAACTGTATTTCAAGCATTTTCATCAAGTCTATTTTCAACAAACTTTCACAGAATAAATTCTTCTGACTTTGTCCCAGTGAGCTATTGTCAAGATTTTGCTGACTCTCACCTCTTCACTTCTGCAGAAGGATTCCTAATATAGACAAACATTTTTGAAGAATGTCTTTGCAATGATGAATCATAGGAAGGAAATGGGGAAGGGGGAGGGAAGGGCAGGGTAGTTGTCTTGTTGTCTTGCTGGTTGAAATGTTGCAAACTGCTCAGGTTCATGCAGTGCTGATAATTCTCCCACATTCATAGAATAATTCAAAAGCCAATAGCAGTAGCAGAGGAGTGGTGCATCATTACTGTTACTGCCAAGCCTGTTTCTCCCAGTCTTCTCATCATCCTCTTCTATGCTTTTTGAAATGTTGCATGTTGTCCCAGTGTCTTCTGCTTTCATAAATGCACCACTCATGGCTATCATAAAAAAATTCAGTAGTTCCTCAGTATTCTGTATATAATTTTAGGGAGAAATTAGAACCTTGCAAATTCTCAATAGTCAAAATTCTCAATACTCAATAGTATTATTACTTATAAGGAAGAGATTTTCTTATGTGAAACACAGGAACAGGTTGCCCACAGAGGTGATGGATGCCCCATCCCTGGAAGCATTCAAGGTCAGATTGGACAGGGCTCCAAGCAACCTGACCTAGTGCAAGCTGTCCCTATTTGTTGCAGGTGGGTTGGAACCATATGACCTGTAAAGGTTCCTTCCATCCCAAACTACTTTATGATTCCATGATCACTGATTCTAAACAATCTTGTTTTCACATACTTTTGATTAAGCAGTATATTTCTTGAGATAATATAAGAATTTTTTTCACTGTAAACAAACCCACAAATACAGGAAATTCCATTGCTGAGCTTCTAAAGTCTAAACTTCAAGTCCCTTTTGAAAAGAAGTTTTTGAGTTAGAGATTCTATTTCTTTGCTAGGCCTTTCTTGCACAGAGTATAAACTACATGTTTTTTTATTATCAAGTTAACATTGTGCTCTTAAACGGTAATAAAAAATACACATGAATGCAAATTATTCTTAGCCAGTAAAATCCTCACAGAGATTCTGACCCATGATAACATTCTGTAGAATAGGAATGTGTTTTGTCTCCAAGCCTAGTGGATTTCTTTGAGGGCTGTAGCCATTTGCACTGCTCATATTTCAGTCTGTTCAAGCTCTGGGTTCTGACTAGCACCCAATTTTTTCTGCAGGTCTTCACAGAAACACTGGAATAGGGATTAAATTTTTGTTTAGCTTCCTGGGGAAAATGTGTGGCTCAACTGGTTTGCCTTCTGTACTGTGGCACAGACCCAAAATAGTCCATCTCAGCCTAAGAACTAACATCATAGTTTTTAAAGCTGCAGAGATCCCAACCTGATCAAGAATTGCAGTGTATATGATGAATAGATCCCAAATATCTGCTTCTTTTCTGCACAGGAAAACAAAATATGTCTATAATTTGAATTTTTAATTGTACTTTTAGATTAAAGAAAACCCTGAATTAAAGAAAACAATGGCATTAAAGAATAAAAATAAGATTGCTGTGGGAGGGAGCTCAGTGTGGTTGCACTTGTGTAAACAGTGGGTACATGGATGTGTGCACAGATGCATGTGCTGGCACACATTTCTCCTTGCTTTGTGTGTTATGAGAAGTCTCTCAGATGTGATACTTCTTGGTTATCGGTTGGGTTTTTTTCAAACACTGCTTTTTTAGGCCATTTTGCATTCTTGACTTGGCTTGTGCTGGCCAAGTCTGCCATTTTTTTCTCCTTGTCTGCATCCATAGAGAAATCTGGGCATTCTGCATACATACGTCCACCTGTGGTTCCATCATACATCATGGGAAGAAAATAAAGACAGAGTAGAGTTTTTCCTTTGAAGTTTTGTGTTTGGAGATTCATTTACTTCCAGCAGCAGTGATAGAAAACTGTCTTCCTTTTTTTACTATTATTTTTATTCCCCATTATGTAGTTTTTCATTAGTCCAGCGTAATCACCTTGTTCTAGAAAGGCCATTTACGTATTGGTGTTGCAGAATTGCCTCTGAACAAGGAATCCTAGCAAGGTTTTGCTGGGCATTGTAATTTCCTAGGAATGCTAAGAACAAAGACTTGGAATTTGCTTAAACTTTCCTCTAAAACATTTCTGTTTCAGCACTTAGCTTTTGGATTAACTCTTTTGATTATATGTAGTTAAAATTTGATACAGAGCACTTGAATTGGGGTCTTGAATTGCAATGTCACTGTGAGCTGGAAAAATGAACCGCTCAAGCAATTATTATTTTTATTAACCTTATCAAAATTCTATGGCAAATACAACACAATTTCCATTTTAACTGATCCACTGTACTTTTATACCTGAAGTTTTTCTTTTGTGTCTGTATATGCATAGGATGACTGCAGTTATTCAGGGATAAGTTGTTCTCTCATCTGCATGATTTTGTCCAATTTGTTTTGGAAAATACACAGTATTTGTTATATACTATATAATTTAAACTTTTTTTAATTATCAAAAGTATTTGTGAAAATTACCGTTTAAAAAAAGCCTTTTAGGTAGCCTGATGGTAACTTCCAGGTAAGTCCAGTGTGCTGTAGTTGGGGTCTTGAAACATGATACTGAGTAGTTATCTTAGAAAAAAGGCCACTGTCTAAGGAAGCAGACTTACCTGGTGTCGTGCTGAGCATTGCAGTGTTTGCTGTGTAATTTATATAAAATTCATATCATTTTTCTCCTGTTGGTTATGGCTGTGCTGTTAAGTCATCTCCAGCAGTGCTGTATCCATAACACATTGGATTTTTTTGCACTGGATGAGTAAATGTGGCCATGAGGTTTCCTTCCCATGTGGCAAGGTGGGGGTAGAAGAGGGAGGTTTCTGTTTTTATCACTTGCTCTTCTTTTTCTTGAGTCTCTTGGGTCTGAAGCCCACAT